TATTCAAAAGGTGATAAATAAAATTATCCTTCTTTTTAAAGTTTATTAAGAAATGTGCAAAGTCAATAGTGGACTAAGAGCATGCTTGGATTGACTTAAAAAAATAGTTTTTAAGTCAAAAAGAAAAAGTCAAACTGAAATGACTTGTAAGTCAAAATATAAAAAGTAGGGGGAGACCTACTTTTGGTTTCTGACTTATTTTAAGTCATTTTTTACCTTATCAAACACTTTGTAACTTATTTTAAGTCATTTTTTATATTTGTCAAACACTTAAAAGTAGGTTAGAAGTCAAAAACTGACTTAAATGTAGGTTTTATCGACTTTTAAGCCAATTCAAACGGGTTCTAATATTGTTAGACCATCTCCAAAAACACTCTATTTTACTCTTCATTCTCTATATTTGAAGAGTAAAATAGAGAATGGGCTCTCCAACCACCTTCTATTTCACTCTTTATTCTCTATACTAGATATGAAAGGGCTCGTTAACGGCCCAATATTACAATCTTAAATACATTATTTCGTGACCAAATATTAAAATGCATCTCCGCGTCACGGACTTGCTCCCAGACAGTGTTTTCTTGACCGTTTCTCATGATTAACTATCTAAAACTCATTTAATCATTACGATATCTTTCCTACTACAAATAATAATCTTGAATTCATAATTCAAATTCAAGGTAGAACTTAGAATTAAGTCTTGAGAGTTCTTTCGAGTCTTTTGAGAAAGTCCCTTAGAGTCTTTTGAGGAGTCTTCTATAATTTCTAAGAACTTGTTTCAAGACTCAAGTAAGTGAGTATAAGAATGATGAAAATGTATTCATGAGTCTATACTATCATCGAGATCCTTTATATCATGAATCATAACTCTTGATTTTATAATTCAAAATTCAAAATCAAGAAAGAGCTAAGAGTAGAGTTCAAGAAAGTCTTTGAGTTCAATTGTGAATCCTTTGAGATCAACTATTGATTTGAGCTAAGTTTTGAGGAAGTAAGTATGAGAATGAGAAGAATCATATACATGAATTCCATATTGTTATTTAGACCCTCGAGTCGAGTCGTTCATGTCCATAAATTCCGCATGAACTTCATAAGTTGAATATCTTTGAGAGGAGTAGCATCTTCAAGTTCTAAGTCTTGAGTACTGAGTTCCTAATCATTTAGGGATTATATTCCTAATCACGGGGCTACTACATGTTACCCATGAAGGTCCTTGAGTTGAGCAATTTATGCACATAATTCCGCATGAACCCTATGAGTCGAACAATCTTGAGATAAGAGGTATCATTGAGTCCTTGAATTGAGTCATTCACATCCATAATTCGGCATGAACCCTATTTTAAGAAGTCTTTTGCAAACTTTTTTAAAATTTGTTTTAAGACTTGAGCATATGAGTTGAGGAAGAGTAGAACTAAGTTCATTTTCTTTAAAATGATTTATTGGAACTAAGTATTCTCAAGAGTAAATGTTTTTACATTTAAGATGAGAGGAACCTAAGATTTTCAAAAGAGTTTTGAGCAGTTTAGTACCATCTCTTTTAAGAAAAAGATTTTGAGTAATAATCTCAAAATACATAAAGAATTATGTTTTTAGAGAGAAAAAAACATAAATTTCACTCAAGTATAGAGAAGATTTCTTTCTTTCTTTTTTTTTTGGGAAATTATACTATTTGCTTGCTTATTAATTGTAAATAATATCTTCAGTGATTAAAATTTATGTATTGTTGTAATCTCTACATAACTAAGTAATACCTACATAACTAATACTTGCATAACTAATACCAACATAACTAATACCACATAACTAAATCTTGCATAACTAAACCATACATAACTAATATTTGTATAACTCTAACCAATAACCAAATGGCCCCTAACTATATTATCCTTTTTAAAATTTATCACAAATTATTTATTCTTATAAAAATGACCCCATTTTTTTAAAAAAACATATTCAAATAATCAAATATTATTTGCAAAATCAATAGCTTAACACAAGTTCAACTTAATTTTTTTTAAATAAAGTGATTTCTTTTTTGTAATAGTATGTGGTAGTTCTTATATGAGATCTAATCTATAACATTATACAACTATCTATTTTGAGATATTATTTTATTTAGTGCAATTTAGTTGTATGTCTCAGGTAAATTAGTCAAGTAATTTTTAGAAACTGAGGAATATAAACCATATTTATAAAAACATAATATATAAATATATCTTTTAATTACTTGACTTTGTCTGACATCTATGATATTTAACTTAGGGTGTGCACAAGTAAGCACTTAAAATTTTATAAAGTAGAAGAAGTAGAAACACGCGTCCTATGGGGAATAACACACGTAGAAGCCACATAAAATGTCGCATAGGACGTGAATTATAGTGTCATGTAGGACGTCAAGTAGAACACAAGTGTCAACTTGTTCAATTTTATACAAGATTATGTGTCTACTTATGAACATCTAAAATTGAAGGACATAAATGTTAGATTAAACCAAATTAAATGACAGATTTATGTATTATGCCTTTAGAAAGAGTATATTTAAATTCGAAATATTTTTTGCATAAAATTTAACCAAGCACGACTTCAACTATAAATTTTTTAAATGAAATAAACAGTATTTTTTCATGACCAAACCACACTAAGAAAGGAAATGATTTAAAGCCCTCAAATTTAAATTTTTGGTATGAAAAAATCTCATTTAAAATTATACATTCAAAATAAAAAAGATTTTTTAAAAAATATATCAGCTTAAATGTACAGGCTTTTGAAGTAAATCAATAAATGGGGTCCATGTAACTTTGCAATGATTTCTTTTACTCCTCCCAATGTATTGGTACACGTGTAGCCACTAGAATCCACAACTATTAGTGATGGATACATTGGGAATTACATAAATTTTGGTTGTTTTTTCTGGAAATTTTAATACTTTATGCACAACGTACAATTAAACTAAGCTTGAAAATTTTTTTCGGTTGACAAAAATGCCCTTGGTCGTCTTCATCTTGACGTCAAGTAGAACACAAGTGTCAACTTGTTCAATTTTATACAAGATTATGTGTCTACTTATGAACATCTAAAATTGAAGGACATAAATGTTAGATGAAACCAAATTAAATGACAGATTTATGTATTATGCCTTTAGAGAAAGTATATTTAAGTTCGAAATATTATTTGCATAAAATTTAACCAAACACTACTTCAACTATAAATTTTTTAAATAACATAAACAGTATTTTTTCATGACCAAACCACACTAAGAAAGAAAATGATTTAAAGCCTCAAATTTAAATTTTTGATATGAAAAATCTCATTAAAATTATACATTCAAAAATAAAAAAGATGTTTTTAAAAAATGTATCAGCTTGAATGTACAGGCTTTTGAAGTAAATCAATAAATGGGGTCCATGTAACTTTGCAATGATTTCTTTTACTCCTCCCAATGTATTGGTACACGTGTGGCCATTAGAATCCACAACTATTAGTGGTGAATACATTGGGAATTACATAAAGTTTGATTGGTTTTTCTGGAAATTTTAATACTTTATGCACAACGTACAATTAAACTAAGCTTGAAATTTTTTTTGGTTGACAAAAATGCCCTTGCTCGTCCTGGTCGCATTCGCCTTTCTATATATATAATATATATAGAGAGAGAAAGAGAGAGAGTTGAGTAGTTCTCCAAATTTGGAGAACTACTATTCACACTCTTTATTTTACTTTTTTATTATTTTATTATTATTTCTATTGTTTTGTAATTAACATATTATTTTTCATATAAGTCTATGAATTAAATCTCTAATATTCGTAATTATTTTTAAATGTAATATATTATTTTAAAATATATATATATATATTATTTAATATATACTATTTTCATTCCGAATTAATAATATTTCAATTTGTTAAAATTTTTTGTCTATTTATTATAAATTGATATTATTATTAATTTTCACTATAAAGAATGCACAATTTTAAATGGTCTACAATTGTTCAAACTATTCGTTATCCCGTTCTCAAAAGAAGATATATTTCGCGATGAAACAAGAATCGAGCCAAAATGATGTTGAACGTACATTCGGAGGTTATCAATCACGTTTTGCAATTATTGTAGGACAATCACGTTTTTTGGAGAAACGAAGTGCTACATCATATAATGACGACATGTATTATATTGCACAACATGATAATTGATGATGAACGTAATCTTAATGCACCAATTCAAAATGTTGTAGAGACTCCAATTGTAACGACAAAAATGATGGTAGATGAAAATCTTCGATTTGAACAATTTTTAGCTAGACATAAAAAAAATTAAGGACAAAAATGCTCATTTTGAACTCCATAATGTGTTAATAGAGATTTATGGGAGCAACGTAATAATCTTGAAAGTTGGGTATTTATGTAATGTTTATGTAATTATATTTCATTAATGATTTCAATTTTATTTGAATTGTCCATTAATTTGTATATTATATAATATTTGCTTCCAATTTATGTTATTAAATTTTTTAGAATAAATAAAATTTTATATTAAAAAATTTGAAAAAATAAAAATTTTATGTCACATGAAAATTATATAAAAGTGATTATTTGGAAAAAAGAAAGAAGGGATTTATATTGTGAAATAAGAAATAAGAATGAAATTAAAAATAATAATATAATATTGAGGAGAGAAAAAAAAGATTCTTTTATAGACAGTAAAATAAAGAATTGAGTTGGAGTTGATTGTCTGAAAAAAATAAAGAACACTATATTTGATCTATATTTGAAGAGAGTAAAATATAAAGCAGGGTTGGAAATGCCCTTAGACACGGTATATTTTAAACAACCATTTTTTTTTTTATGGATTCAGACAATGAAAACTAAGTCAACTTCATAACGTACGGAGTTTGGCGGATGACTGAATCATTCTTCTTCAACACGCGTTATTTCAAATAAATACTGTTCTTACAACTCTATAAATAGAGAAGAATATACAAATACTCCTCACTGCAATTTCTCAGCATTTCAAATATTCCTCTCTTTTACTCTCTCTGCCTACTCATTTATACTCCTAACCAAACTTTAATTCCCCATCAAACAAACAAAATGAAGGTATGCAATTTAATTTAATATAATTTTAATTTATTTTTTTAGTATATGATTCAACTCTCATATATTAAACGTATGTTGTTAAATTTGTGCAGCAAAAAGTTGTTATCAGACTATCTTTAAATGGAATCAATCAGAAATATCGAACCAAGGCCTTCAAGATTGCTGTTTCTCAATCAGGTAATTTCAATCAAGCGTGTCGAATAAATCCTCATATTGATAATAATTATAAAAAATCGTGCGAATTTTGCTCATACATTGTTTTTTTTTTTTTTTCACCTTAGGTGTGGAATCAGCAGCTATAACAGGGGACGGAAAGAACCAATTGGAAGTTGTGGGAGAAGTAGATGCTGCGACTCTAACGAGCTTATTGAGGAAGAATTTGGGTCAGGCGGACTTGGTGAGCGTTGGCCCGGCTGGTGGTGGCCCCGTAGCTGCAGCTCCAGCTCCAGCTGTAGCTGCAGCTGCGATGGCTCAGTCGCAACCCGGCTCGTACTATTATGCCTATCCGTCTTATCAATACCCAGTTTACCAAGTTACAGATTCCTATGGTGAACCCAATTGTTCCATTATGTGAATGCCAATTTTCGATTGCCTATGGAAAACAGAGTGTATAGTATTGGAACAGAGGGATTCAATATAATTAACTGTATTCACAGTCAAATATTTATTAATATGTTAATAGATAGGGCTATAGAGTTTGAGCGAAAGCTATTTGGTTCACGTGAACTTGTATGGTGTATCATTCAAGTTTTTGGTTCCTGTCCAGAGAGCTTAATGGACTATCTAGTAGATGAAGAGTTTTGGTTTTTTTTTCCCCCATCTTTTTGGGTCTTTGTAAATGCCTTTCAAATATTAAAAATATATGATTTTTTGTATAATTGGATGATCTGAGTGATTTTATCTATGTTGTCGAATTTATTTGAATTTAGTATTTTTAATATAGAGTATAAATTTAATGTGTAAAAGTTTACTGAAACTGCAACAAATATTAGACAAGCTTCAAAAATATAATGTCAATTATGATAGAGCAACTTTTAAAGTTTACTACATAAAATTTATGTTCTGAATCTGTCTATAACGATAATATACCTAAACATGGTGGCCTTTTATAAACACAAAGAGAAGTTACATCTAAACTAAATAAGAACACGAAATTGCAATGCGGGAGTATTAATTTTCCTTGTACTAAGATTAGATTAACACAAGCTGTTTATTTTGGATTATTTAATTTTCATATATAATCAATTTCGAGAACCACACAATCAGTGTGTGATTATTGTGAAAAAGGTTTGTCATTTCAACTCAAGCTTGTGGGAGAAAAGTATATGAATGGTGTGTTTGGCACCGAGGAAAATATTTTAAATTGTTTTGTTGATCAAAGGTTTTGAAAAGTAGAATTTTTAGAAAAATAAAGTATTGTTTTGAATGTGACTATTTTAGCTATGTTTGTTGAAATATACTCAAAATAATCGAACGATTAATATCATCTTTCTTAACTAAGTTTCACAATTTTTAAAATATATTAAAAATTAATTCCATACACCTTGAAAAAAGTAGTTTTTTATTAATAAAAAAAAGGAATCTCGTTATGTCTTAAATACATTAATTATTCTTCATTAATCACATTAAATATTTTTAAAAAACTACTAAGATGAATCTTTTAGGTAACTAATACTCTCTCTGTCCAATAATATTTGTTCACTATTGACTTTACACGCTCTTCAAAAACTTTAAATAAAAGGGTAAATACAATGTCTTGAAAATATTATAGAGAAATAACTATAATTAACGATAGGAAAAATTCTTTTGACCAAAAAAATTTGGCCATAATTTGGCTAGAATGGTAAAAGGACATGTTCACACTATAAGCTAGTTTGTTTTTGGACATTTTTATCCTTTAACTCAAATATTGAATATATTCTTCACCTATGTTTTCAATGCATTGAAAATGATTGATGAGATTAATTATTTATAATTTCATAGTTAAACATTTAAAATGAACCACAAAATCCACCAAAGAAAACATAAGTTTCACCCACTCTACCCTCTTGAAATTTTCAAGATCTAAAAAAAAAAAAAATGTTTTAAAAAAATAATAAAAAATGTAAGCGTAGTAGAAAAAAACTACATAATAAAAAAGTAGTAAAAAATATATCTCTTTTTCAGTTTCAAAAATTCCTCCTTTTTACTTATTCTTTTTTGTTTATTTATATTCCATTTCTTATTTCTTAATGATAAAAAGAGAAAATTTAAAAACTATAAAAGAGGAGTAAAGTGTAGATGATCTATTTTAGTTTATAATTTCTAATCTAGAGAAGATAAATTATATCTAAATTTAAATATTGAAAATTTATATCTATAATACTCAAAATTTAATATTTGAAATTGATTGAGTTGGCAAAATAATTACTCCTATTTATTTCAAGAAGTCGTTGTTACACATCGATTTCTAGAAAGAAGTTAAATAATAAAAATATATTTTATTTGATTATACTTAGAATGTATGTGAGCGAAATATGAAGAAAATTGAAACTATAATAATGTTTTTCTTATTATGTGATTGTCTTCATATCCTCGATCATATATGAATTATATCATACACAAATAAAGACTCATTAAAATTAATATATATATTTTTTATTTTAGTACTAGAGACGTATACTAAAAAGGTTGATGGCGCTTCATTGATAAATTATAATTACACGGAAAGGATATAGAAAGTTCTTTATGATTTCAAAATATTTTTTTATAAAAAAAAAAATGAAAGAAAAACATATTCATAGTTCTCCAATGATAATAACAACACAAATTTGTTAAGCATGAACTATCAAAGTTTCATAACATATTTATTTTTCTTTATTAGTATTATTTGTTGTTTTATAAAAAAAAATGTTTGTTATTAACTGATTTGTTAAAATATTAAGTTTACATATAATATTAATATTATTTTTCCCTCAGATTAATATTTTTTTGAAACTGATTATGAATTTTTATAATTAAGTAATTTTATTGTATTTATTATATAAATAGATTTAAATTACATAATTAAATTACATTTTACATAATTTTTTGAATATAATGTAAAATAGTTTAATAATAACAGTCAAAACTCAAAACACTCTAGTTCATATGTATCAACCCTAGATAACAAACCAAAAGAGCCAAATATTATAGTCTTGTGCCCCTGTTATGTCAATTTGATGATTTGAGAATCATTACTTATATTTGTTACTAATATGAGCTCTAATTAGATAATTGTAGTAATTATTAGTATGTTAAAAGAAATTAAGCTATGCATAAAAAATAAAAATATAATTTGAAAATATTTCAATAATGACAATCAAAACTCAAAGTACTTTAGAATTAGTCTACATCGACACATTATAGAAATACTTAAAATCATATGGTTCATAAGCGACGATCCTATTTAACACCAAAGATAGTTACACATAATGTTGTAGTTTTGCATATTTGCTAATTATTATGTTTTAAAAAATTAAACTACATATTTAAATAATTAATTGATATCCCTAGTTAACAACAAGCTAAGAGTATTTCAAAAAAAAAAAAAACTAAGAGAATGTTTACGCATTAATATTATAGTCTTGTGCCTCTATATTATACTGACTTGATAACTTATGAATTATTATTGATACTTGTTATTAATATGAGCTCTAATTAAATAATTTAATGAATTATTGTGTTTAAATAAATTTAAATTATATATTACTATTTTTTAATATAATCTGAAAATATTACAATAAAAACAATCAAAACTCAAAACACTTTATAGAGATCAATATATTATGATTCATATTATAACTTATAAGTATCAATCCTAATTAATTACACTAAACATTTGTATACTATATATGTTCAATTATAAATAGACCCTCTATATTTTGAAATCAAACATTCACATCTTCTATATTATAAAAATCATACCAGTTTTATCCACCAATAATGTTATTTCTAATTTCCTAAAAAAAATATAAACATTGTATAGAATGAATGTTCTACGTAAATGAAATTCTATCTAACTAATTATACATACATAATTTTAAAGCAAGAAAATAAATAAAAAGAAATTATATATAATAAATATTACATTTAAATAAAATTATAAATAATGTACGTATTTAAATTAAAAGAAAGTTATTACTAACCGTTGATATATCTTATTAACTAATTTGTATCACTTAACATTTTAAAAAAAATATTAATTATTTTAAAATTAAATGCATAAATGAAAATTTTATCGTTTAATAATTTATTTTAATATATTTAGTTATAGATAAACTCATTGAAAGTGTAAGTATAGAATTTTCACACTACATGAAGCGTAAGCGTTTTATTTTAAAATATGAATAGTGTATTTAAAATTGAATTATAATATAATTTTTTCAATATATTAATTATTTATATACAAAAAAATATGAAATTAAATCTCAAAAATAGTGTTTTTTCTGTTATCTTATAGAGTTGCTTTATTGGAGACATAAAGTAGATATTTATTCTTGTTAGTTTCTTTTTTAATTTACTCCACATTTTAATTTTTTTTAAAAAGAGCCAGGAGAATTAAAAAAAAGATAAGGTAAAGAAGTAGAATGACGAAAAACGAGAAGAAAAATGAATTTGACGAAGAAACAAAACTGTTAAATATTTTATTAGGTGGGATTCAAAACATTAATCTTATCAAAATAATAAATGCTTTATACAATTTACTGGAAAAGAGCAAGCCTTAATTTTATTTCTTTATTTTGAAGGAAAAAAATTATAATTGTCTTTTTAAAATGGGCAAATATTGTTGGACATTTTAAAATAATATATTCCCTATGTCCCAAATTACTTGTCTACTTTTAAATTGACACACCTATTAAGAAAATAACTATTGACATAGTAAGTTTACCATTTTACCCCTATTAATTATGAAGTAAATGAATTAAAAACTTAAGATTTCAAGAATTTCTACCTTTTTCAAAGTAATTAATTGAGGGTATAATAGGTAAAAAAAATTGTCCTTCCTTGATTTGTTAAAATGGATAAGTAATTAAGGACAACTAAAAAAGAAAATGTGGACAAGTAATTAAAGACAGAGGAAATAGTAAACAACTATTATAAGACGGAGAGTATTAAAGTTTACAAACATTACTTGAGTAATTTCCCTGGATAGTCACCCATGTTTGGGAAATTACCTTGAAATATCACTTATGTTTGTTTTATGACCACAATATCACCCAACTTTACCTCTTTTCCTCAAAATATACTTACACAAAAAAAACATTATCTCTCTCCTAATAGGATGCCATGTCACATTATTCCTTTTTCATTATTAACATTTTTTTAAAAAAAATTTAGACAACCCATATTACCTAGGAAAAAAAATTACATAGCCCAAAAATTTCTACCCTAGTTCTAGGGGATTAGGCGGCAAATCCAAATATGATCTACTCCGATTCTTCAAGAAAATATGTGGCTTCCTCCGATTTTTCAAGCGAGATAATGTTTTTATATGGGCACTAATGGGCAATGGCACCTTTTTGTTGAGTCCGGAGCCAAAAGTGCGACTTTTTTTCTTTAAAAAACAAAAACGACACATAAAATTTTTTTTTATCCAAAAGGGCAAAATTGTTCCTGAGCGATTTTGTTCTGACAAAAATTGACGCCGCTCCGCTATAAGAAATAAAAATCGTTGCTATAACAACATTTTTATATAAAAATATTAAAAGCAAACTCGCTGCTATAGCAGCGATTTTGTTTAAGAAATTATTTTTAAAAAAAAATAAAAATCCTACCCTTGCAGAGAATTTAATGAAAATTAAAACTGAAGCCAGCGATTTTCATAAAAAGCTTTTTTT